GCCGCCGCAGCAGCAGCAGCAGCGACGTTGCTGATGCTGCTGTTGCTGATCATGACAGTGGCGCCCGGTTGCGGGACGTGTTTGGCGAGCCCGTGCCTTACACGGCGGATCAGCTGTCTGTGCTGCGCCGCTCGCTGCCAGCGCCGTCCCGTGCCGTGGAGGAGCGCCGTGAGCGCGCGCGCCGCGCTGTGGAGACGTGCGCCTCGCCGCCGTGCGCAGACTGCCTTAGCCGGTTCAACGGCGACGCCAACGGGGACTGCGAGTTTGACATTCGCGACGTCTCGTACACGCAGCTGTACCTGGCCGAGCGCTCGTTCAACTTTGAGCGCCAGCCGCAGGGCGTGGAGCTGAAGCAGCAGCTCATTCCGGCGCAGCTGGCGGCCATGGACGCGGACCTGAACGACGAGATCAACCTGGCGGACGCCAAGTACATGGCGCTGATCAACTTCAACCTGCAGCGCTTTGTGGAGGTGGAGGTGGTGCCTGTGCAGAACCAGTTCTCGCAGGGCCGGCTCACCGTCAACGTGACGGTCAAGGCCAAGCCCGGCAACGACATTGACTCGGAGACGTCTGCCGTGTTTGTGCTGCTGTCCCACCCCGATCCGTTGCTGCAGAGCAACCTGAGCGCGAGCACGTTTGTGCGCGGCACGGCCGTGACGGGGTACTCGCCCGACCCGGCCAGCGCCAGCGTGCTGGTGCGCGCGGACCGCTACCTGCCGCTCTTTGAGGACTACCAGGTGGAGCAGCAGCCCACGCTGTGCCTGCTGCCGCGCGCGTCTGGCAGCACCAACTGCAACCTGGGCGCCCCCGTCACGCGGTACCGCTACGACCGCAGCACGGCCACCTGTGTCGCTTTTGACTTTTACGGGTGCCAGGGCAACGCCAACAACTTTGAGACGAAGCACGAGTGCGAGACGACGTGCGTGGCCACTTACCGCTACACCGTGTCCGCGGAGGTCAACTTTGTGGCGGATGAGGTGGGTGCGTCGGTGCTGCTGGTGACGTTTGACTCGCAGGGCGACACAACCACCGGCCGCGACATCTTCATGTCGGGCAGCGCCGTGAATGGCACGTACACGTACACGCAGCAGCTCGACTTTGCTGTTGAGGTGAGCCCCGAGGGCAGCCCGACGTCCACGTCCACGGTAAGCGTGCTGGCCACCAACGGGTTCAACCCGCTGAGCAGCTTTGCCAACCGTCTGCGCACCGCCGACGCCATCAACGACTTCTCGCCCACCATTGCGCCCGGCCCGCTGTTCAGCATCAAGGAGGACACGGCGCAGCAGGCGTCCATCCTCACTGTCAGCGCCACGGACGCCGACCCGGGCCAGACGGCGGCGACCACGCTGTCGCTGGCCGGCGGCGTGCTCAACCCGCTCACGGGCCTGGTGGAGGCGGGCCGCGTTGGCCTGGACCCAAGCACGGGCAGCGTGCACCTGCTGCAGACGGTGGACTACGAGGTGGCGTCGCAGCGCACGTTCAACTTCACGGTGAGCGCGACCGACAACTCGCCGCCGTGGCCGCGCACGACGCTCAAGGAGTACTCGGTGTCTGTGATTGACGTGAACGACAACGCGCCCGTGTTCTCGCCATCTGTGTACGGCGCGCGCATCTCCGTGGACTCGCCACGCGACACGACCGTGCTGCGCGTGACGGCGACGGACGCGGACAGCAACACGCTGGCCGGCGGGCAGAACAAGGCGCTCACGTACTCTGTGGAGGTGGTGTCGAGCGGCTCGCAACCGACGGACGGGTTTGGCATCTCACAGGAGGGCGTCATCTACACGACGGGCACGCAGACGCGCTCGCTCTCGGACACGATTGAGCTGGTCGTGACGGCGACGGACGGCGGCACGCCCGCGCTCAGCGCTGAGGCGCGCGTGTTTGTGGCCATCATCAACGATGACTACCTGGTGACCATCACGACGCGGCCCAACGTGAACGACTTTTTGGCGGGGTACGACAACGTCACCAACAGCCACCCGTGCCTGGACGCCCTGGGCGACATTCTCGGTGGCCGGCTGGTGGTGCTGGAGGTGCTGGCCAACACGGACAGCCCCAACACGCAGACGGACATCACCTTCTACGTGGTCAACGCGACGAGCCAGGAGGTGCTGCCGACCGACCGCGTGAACACAATCCTGTCGACGGTGGAGGACTTTGAGGCGTGCACGCTGCGCAGCGTCGACACGCAGGACCGCAGCTTTGAGTCGTCTGTTCGCTTCTCTGCTGAGGAGCAGTGCGACACGAACATTGGCGAGCCGGCCAGCACCGCGGCGCGCGAGTTCCACAAGACGTGCCTGTCGGACGTGATTGCCAACCACAGCGCGCGCGTGGAGTGCTACCGCGAAAACGACGCGGAGACCGGGCCGGTGCTGGTGAACCTGCGCGTGTACGACACGGCCAACTGCCGCAACCTGGGCGAGTACCCGCCGGCGATTGTGGCGACGGCCAACGAGACGTGCGTGCAGGTGACGCTCAACAACGAGACGCTGTTTGTGGAGGCGTACTGCTACGACCTGCTTGGTGCGGGCCCCAACTCCGCCAAGAGCGAGGCGGAGCCCATCCTGATTGCCGGGTTCACGGCGGCCGCGCTGCTGGTGTTCATTGTGCTGCTGCTGCTGCTGCTGCGGTACCAGCGCCAGCGCAAGCAGCTGGATAACGCGCGCAAGATGGTGCTGGCGCACCACGGCGACGTGCTGTTTGGCACGCCGGAGCCCATGCGCAAGGAGCCCGAGCGCACGGTGTTCACTGGCGGGGAGGTTGATCCGGAGACGGGCGAGGTGGCGCGGTACAAGGAGACGACGACGGTGGTTGACGACCAGACGGGCGGCAGCCGCATTGGCGTACCGGCCACCGCGAAGCAGTCGCTGGACGAGTGGGACACGCGCCTTCCGTCCATGTTTGGCGGCCTGCGCAACAACCCGCTGTACGGCACGACCAACTTCCCCACGCGCATGCGCGGCGGTCGCCCCGTTGGTGGTGCCACCACCACCCTCGCCCCCGACGACGACGACGACGACAGTGATGACTCGCTCTCTGACGGCACGACGCTAGCGAGCGTGGACGAGTTTGATGGCTCGTCTGGGTCGAGCGGCAGCGGCAGCGGCGACGACGACAGCCTGCTGGGCGACCTGAGCGACTTTGAGATGTTTGAGCAGGAGATGTTTGGCGCGCACGAGACGAGCAAGGGCCACCACCGCAACCCGCCCATGTTTGCTGCTGCGGACATGAGCGGCGATGACCTGAGCGACTTTGACGAGCTGGACGGCATGGAGGGCCCCGACGGCGAGAACATCAACGAGGGGTACCTGGACATGGACACGAGCGAGTCTGAGGACGATGATGTGGAGGATGACATGATCAGCGGGATTGACGACGACGACGTTGATCTGGACGACATGTTTGAGGACGAGCAGCCCGCGCCCTCGCGCGGCATCCTGAAGGTTGGCGGCAACTCTGGCAGCAAGCCGCGCGTGTCGTTTGGCAACGTGGTGGCGCACAGCATGGACGAGGAGGACGCCATGTCCAACGTGAGCATGCGCAAGAGCGCCAACACGCGGCGCCGGCGCGAGGTGACGTCGATGGACATTGAGTCGGAGCTCGTCATGCCTCAGGTGCAGTTTGAGGACGTGGCGACGCCCTGGCAGACGCGGCAGCAGTCCATCCCCGAGGAGGACGAGGACGATGCAGCGAGCACGCGCGACGTCAACATCAACATTGGCAATGGCGACCATGACGACGACGACGATGATGATGACTTCCAGGCGAGCTCGCACTTCAAGGCCGTACACAACCTGTGGAGCCAACGTGGCGACAGCAGGCGTTGAAGTGTGGGGGAAGCGGATGAGACATGAGGTGGTGGGAGATGATTGTGTGAAGTGACGTGGTAGTGGGAGCGTGTAGACGGGTGTAGACGGGTGTAGACGTGTGTGTGAGTTGTGAATGTTAAGTGTGAGGGTGGAGATATGACATTGGGTTTTATGTTTATGTGAATGCGTGTCATGTGTAGAGTGCAAGTGCGAGAGGATGAAGAGCGTATGTTGAGTGTGAATGCTGCTTTTGTTTGTGACATGGGGTGATGGCGGTTGCTTTCCAAAGCGACGCCAATCGCCCTCGAGTTGTCTCATGTGTGTGTGTGTGTGTTTGCGTGTTATCGCTTCTCAACCAAGCAAGACCATTCATTTCTTTCACGTTCTCTTCATTTCATTTCAGCTTTCTCTTTTTCTGTCTTTGATTGCGTGGGTGACATGCGTGCGTTGTTCAACAAATCAATGAACTTGGCACAAAACGAAGCAGTGCGCAACAGTGTAGGTGGTGGTCGAAGGGTGGAGAGGTTAGAACGAAGGTGTGGGACAAGGAAACGAAATGTGGCAATCGTGTGTGTTGGCGCTGATTCAGGGCTGCGTGTCACGAGTAGATCCTGGCAATGGCTGCCTCGACGTTCCACGATGTTGCGCTGAGGGCGTCTCTGGCCTGCGGTGCGTCAATGCCCATGTCCACCAGCTGCTGCAGTTTCCCGCTCAGCTCGGCCGTGTGCTCGTCAGCGGGCGCTGGGATTGGGATGGAGGTGGTCGTGGTTGGAGTGGTGATGGTAAGCACAAGTGTGAGCAGCGGTGGAGTGTAGCACATGTACATGTGTGTGTGTGTGTGTGTGTGTGTGTGTGTGTGTGTGTGTGTGTGTGTGTGTGTGTGTGTGTGTGTGTGTGTGTGTGTGTGTGTGTGTGTGTGTGTGTGTGTGTGTGTGTGTGTGTGTGTGTGTGTGT